TGGTCTATACTAGATATTATTCTGTGACGTTTCAGGTAGGCAGTGTTCTATACTAGATATCATTTTGTGACGTTTCAGGTAGGCAGTGTTCTATACTAGATATCATTTTGTGACGTTTCAGGTAGGCAATGGTCTATACTAGATATCATTTTGTGACGTTTCAGGTAGGCAGTGTTTTATACTAGATATCATTCTGTGACGTTTCAGGTAGGCAGTGGTCTATACTAGATATCATTTTGTGACGTTTCAGGTAGGCAGTGGTCTATGCTACATATTAATTTACTTTTAGACTGGAGCTAAAATTCTAGTTAAATAACTATGCATATTTTAATTACATGTGTGAAAGAAAAGCTGTTTTAGTATAAAGCAATAGAAATTAACGCATTTATTTGAAAAGTATAACAATTCAAGATTAGTAGCGGCTTTTTAAATTACCCTGTTTGAAGAAACAAGATAAAAAACATGTTATTTTGCAGCTAAAACCTAGGTCAAAGCTTGATCGATAGGTGATTTTTGTTAGTCTTAAACAAATATGGGTATCAGTTTTATACATGACTTCATATCTCATTAATGACCAAATATTTCCTGTTTTCGGATCCCCGTCACACCAAACATGCTCGCCTTTTCAGTCGTGGGGACATTATAATGTGATGGTCAATCCCACTATTCGTTGGTAAAAGAGTAGCCCAAGAATTGGTGGTGTTTATTAGCTGTCTTCTCTCTAGTTTTTCACTGTTAACTTAGGGACGGCTAGTGCAGGTAGCCCTCGTGTAGCTTTGCGCGATATTCAAAACCAACAAACGAACTTTCTCGTTTTCACAAATTCAAGTTTTCTAGCAGAAACTTTCAATTTATTTTTCTTTATATCTGTGTAACTCCTTCTCTAATTTTCTGCTTCTCTTTCTTTATTCATCCTCTTGTATGCCTTTGTTATCAAGTAATATCTTCCTTTTATTATTTTCCCGATAAGATCATTCAAATATTTTAAACTTAATTCCACGTTTTCACCTCTATTCGATTATTCTTTTCATCTTAAATATGAAACACGTTTCTCTCTATTATCATATTTTGTTTTATTCTTATTCTATTTATTTTTTCTCCTGCTCTCCTTGTGATATTGATTGGTCCCATTTCTCCTTTCTTTGTATCTATATCCGTTTTTGACATATTTATATTAATATGTTACGTTTTTCCATCCGGAAAAACATGATACCTGAATTTCTTTCAAACGGAAACGGAACTAAGTTGTTGTTATTTAAAACAATTCTTATTTTCGCTCAAAGGATAAGTTTGTGCGTGACGAGAAAACACACACACATAACTTCATTGTAGCTCATAGGGTTGAAATTTCAGCAAAAGGGTCAACGTTGTCATGTAGCTAGATTAAAAGTACAAACTTAAACCTTTTTAAAATAACTCACACTTTACTCCAAGATTCAAATAATATACTTCGCAAATATTCAAACTGAACATTACGTTCGAATGAAATATTCTGAATAAAAAACGTACTTTGGTTCCTCATTTTTATGGCGAGTTATAAGAATGCGACATAATACGTTTTTAATTATTTATTTAACAGCTACATTTATGTAAAGTTAACGTTTCGTTAGGTTTGAGAGCTATCCTGTAACAAGCTGTATATATTTCTGACGCATTGAAGGCAGATGCTAGAACATTAAACACGTATATAAGTTTATAAATATAAATATATATATATATATATATTATATATATAAACAAAACGAAAAGCCCCCAGTGGCACAGCGATATGTCTGCAAAGTTGAAATGCTAGAAACCGGGTTTCGATACCCGCGGTGGGCAGAGCACAGATAGCCCATTGTGTAGCTTTGTGCTTAACTTCAAACAAACGAATCGAAAAAGAAACACAATATCCGATTGATTCCTCACCCGATATAAAACTTTCCAATCGCACCAAGTATATCTGAACTGTTTTTGACGTATTAGATCGAGATAAACTAAGTTTTTAAGTAAGAATTTATATTACCTGATTTCAGCGAGAAGAAACTAAGAACATTCGGTTGTTTGGTATTTCATGTAATTCTATATATATTTGTCTCACAACAGGCTACGCAAAAAAACAGTGTTGGAAGAATGGCACGTGGTTTATCAATAAATACAACACCGAATGGACGAACTACTCGCAATGTGGGATTGTAAAGGTATGATAATTTTAAAGTGTTTGAGTGATGCGTTTTTTAAATACACTTATATGTGACACACTAGTTTAACATTTAGACTTAAGAACATTCAGTATCCATCGACTTATAAATGAACCTCACTAGGCATCTATCTGTTCATGTATCAGAAAAAAAAAAACGAAACCGCCAACGATTTTAACAACACATTTTCAACTGTTGAAAGAATTTCCGCATCTTTTATTTCGTTATTGATACAGCTTCTAATCATATAAATCTTAACTATCGAAGTGCTATGATAGTCTATTTTGATACTAATAATGTAAAAGCTCCATGTTATTCAAATTATTGATCAATTTCACTTTCCCGGAGGTCAAAAGGTCAAGATAATGATTAAAGACCATTGATTACACGGAGTAAAACATATGTTAATGTAACATTTCATAGATTTTGTAGCAGTGCCTTGACACTCGACGTATTTTAAGTATGCTACTCAAGCAGTGGGTGCTAAAAGAACGCTTTCTGCAGAAAACTTGTTAGGTTAATTATTTCTGAGAATGGCTTAAGCTTTTCTCTTTCTTCATTTCTTCCATGTTATTAATCCACCCATATTTTAAGAAGGAAAACTAATTTTGAGATCTCAACAAACTAGCTTCTGTTCTGGTTATGCACTAACTAACTCAAACTACAGACAAACTTCTGTTCTGGTTATGTACTAGATAACTTAAACTACAAACTAGCTTCTGTTCTGGTTATGCACTAAATAACGCAAACTACAGACCAGCTTCTATTCTGGTTATGTACTAAATAACTCAAACTACAGACTAGCTTCTGTTCTGGTTATGTACTAGATAACGCAAACTACAGACCAACTTCTGTTCTGGTTATGTACTAGATAACTCAAACTACAAACTAGCTTCTGTTCTGGTTATGCACTAAATAACGCAAACTACAGACTAGCTTCTGTTCTGGTTATGTACTAGATAACTCAAACTACAAACTAGCTTCTGTTCTGGTTATGTACTAGATAACTCAAACTACAAACTAGCTTCTGTTCTGGTAATGCACTAGATAACTCAAACTACAAACTAGCTTCTGTTCTGGTTATGCACTAGAAAACTCAAACTACAAACTAGCTTCTGCTCTGTTTATGCACTAGATAACTCAGACTACAACGCTCCTGTTAGTTCTAATTGTCAGTATCACTCAAAAACGTGAACATGAGAAGTTTTTAGAAAGAACAATTCATTAAACCATTGATACAATCAGATGTGAAATCTCAAGGTGCTGATTTAAACATTGTTTATAGCACACACCGCAAAATGATGGGGAAGGTTATTATTTATTGTTATTTTCAAAATTAACTGCTAATGATAGTTCTTAGCAAAAGCAATAACATTAAGAAACACTTGAGACATTTTTAGAAATATTAACTTGGAGCTTAGCGCAATATGCAAGTGTACTTATAAACATATTGTTACGTCTCCGTTTGTTAATTAACTTTCCGTAACTTCGTTCCGACGAAATTTTAACGACACAAGTC